CAGCGAGGCCGGCGCGATGCGGCAGCTGTGCCGGGGACGAGTGCTGGGCATCTCGGTGGCCATCGCGCACGGGGTCTTCTCGGGCTCCCTCAACATCTTGCTCAAGTTCCTCATCAGCCGCTACCAGTTCTCCTTCCTGACCCTGGTGCAGTGCCTGACCAGCTCCACGGCGGCGCTGAGCCTGGAGCTGCTGCGGCGCCTCGGGCTCATAGCCGTGCCCCCTTTCGGTCTGAGCCTGGCGCGCTCCTTCGCGGGGGTCGCGGTGCTCTCCACGTTGCAGTCCAGCCTCACGCTCTGGTCCCTGCGCGGCCTCAGCCTGCCCATGTACGTGGTCTTCAAGCGCTGCCTGCCCCTGGTCACCATGCTCATCGGCGTCCTGGTGCTCAAGAACGGCGCGCCCTCGCCAGGGGTGCTGGCGGCCGTGCTCATCACCACCTGCGGCGCCGCCCTGGCAGGTGAGCGGGCCCCGCGGCGACCCCCAGCCGACCCCACCCACCCCTCTCCGTCGGGCAGAGACCGCGGGGATCACTGAGTGCAACGACCTCACTTCCAGATGGGGAGACTGAGGCAGAGAGGGATGGAGAGCTTTGAAAGTGGTCGCTCAGCTCGCAAAAGGGACTTTCGAGACCCAGCGAGCTCCCCAGCTCTCCGGTTTCCTCCCGCAAGTGCCCCTGCCCCCTAATGTCCTGGCTTCCGACCCTCGACCCTGCTTCACCTGGCATCGCTCTTCCTGCTGCCCCCTCCCTTGGTCTTCCCCTGTCACCCCATTCTCTGGGAGAGGTGGGAGGGCCGCCTGAGCCTGGGAGCTGGAGTTCTCCAAGCCAGGACCAAGCCGGAAGGAGGGGGCCGTGAACTTCCTTGGGTCACCAGGGGCTGGAATGGAGGTGGGGGATGGGGGCGAAGCTTAGGCTCCCGGGGCTACTGCGGGGTGTCTCGTGCGGCGCGGGGGACTGCGGGCGTGAGGCAGACGACCCAGGTGCTGAGCCAGACGAGAACCGGGGCAGGGGGAAGCTTCACTGGGGGCCAGGACAGGCGTTCTCCCCTGCTCCTGGCCCCTCTGGGTTACAGGCCACTGGCTGGGGCTCCCTCTCCCTTTGGTGCCCCACGGGGCAGGGGCTGCGGAGTGCAGGTACCACGCGCCGGAGTGACCTCGGTGCCAGCTCAGGGAAGCCACAGCACCTGCCCCGAGGGCATCTGCGCTCTCCGGGGCCTTTGTCGTGGACAGGGGAAGATGAGGTGACCCGGGGATATAGCGGGAAGGCGCTCTGAGCACTGAGTTTGGCTGTCGCATTTGACACGGGTGGCCGAGGGACGGCGGGCGTCTGTCACTCAGGAATCGGTGGGCAGAGCTGGGGCGCGAACCCAGTCTCCTTTCCTATCCGACGCGTTTTCCCGGTGGGTCCACGCCCACGCCAACCTGCTGTCTTCTCTCTTTTACCTTCCTGCCCGGGCTCGGCCGTCCTCCTTGTGCGCCGCAGGAGCCGGCGACCTGACGGGCGACCCCATCGGGTACGTTACGGGAGTGCTGGCGGTGCTGGTGCACGCCGCCTACCTGGTGCTCATCCAGAAGGCCAGCGCTGACACAGAGCACGGGCCGCTCACCGCGCAGTACGTCATCGCCGTCTCCGCCACTCCGCTGCTGGTCATCTGCTCCTTCGCCAGCACCGACTCCATCCACGCCTGGACCTTCCCTGGCTGGAAGGACCCAGCTATGGTCTGCATCTTCGTGGCCTGCATCCTGATCGGCTGCGCCATGAACTTCACCACGCTGCACTGCACCTACATCAACTCGGCCGTGACCACCAGCTTCGTGGGCGTGGTAAAGAGCATCGCCACCATCACGGTGGGCATGGTGGCCTTCAGCGACGTGGAACCCACCTCTCTGTTCATTGCCGGCGTGGTGGTGAACACCCTGGGCTCCATCATTTACTGTGTGGCCAAGTTCATGGAGACCAGAAAGCAAAGCAAGTACGAGGACCTGGAGGCCCAACCCAGGGGAGAGGAGGCGCAGCTAAGTGGAGACCAGCTACCTTTCGTGATGGAGGAGCTGCCTGGGGAGGGAGGAAATGGCCCGTCAGAAGGTGGGGAAGCAGCAGATGGCCCCAATCAGCAGAGCAAGCAAGAGGTCAGGGGCAGCCCCCGAGGAGTCCCGCTAGTGGCTGGGAGCTCTGAAGAAGGGAGCAGGAGGTCGTTAAAAGATGCTTACCTCGAGGTGTGGAGGTTGGTTAGGGGAACCAGGTATATGAAGAAGGATTATTTGATAGAAAATGAGGAGTTACCCAGTCCTTGAGAAGGAGATGCATGTATGTACCTATGTGCATACACTTATTTTATATGTTAGAAATGACACGTTTTAATGAGAGGCCTCCCCATTTTAGTCTTTGAGGAGTGGGAAAGGGAAGAAAAGAAAGAAGCTGAAAGGTACTGACACAGAGCGACAAAATTAGCACCTGTGTGAATTATTTAGTGTGACTTCACCTGAGGCATCACAGAGACAAAAGAATGTGAAGGTACTTAACAAAGTAAGGCAATGGTTTCTGCTTCAGACTCCTGGCACATTTAATTTTTGTCATTATAACCATAACTAAATATCTGCATGTACCAAGAGTCCCCAAGCCACCCCCTCCAAAGATGGAGTGTAGAAATGATGAGAGCACTTAATAAGTTCAAAGATGACATTCAGGGATGCATTTTTGATGATAGAACTACAGTTTTTATCGCCAGCTGGGCAAAGAGTATATTGCTGAAATGATATATAAATATACTGAATTGATGTTTACTGATTATAGTCATCTGAAATACCATATTTACTCTGATTCTACTCACTTGTTTTTTAAAAATAGGTGTCCTATTATTGTATTATATATTGATAGAAACTGTTAAAGCTATTTTGAAAATATGAGTTCTTAGCTTTAATCATGAAGTCTAAAGTTTGCTTTTAGTAATTATTTTAAAAGTTGTTCCGTTCATTGCTTTATAATATTTATTATTGAATGCCAAACCTGTTCTTTTTTTTTTTTTTTTTACTGTGTCCAATATTCTTTCAAGCAAATGCAATGGCTGGAATATAATTCAGAATTAACTGAAACCCAGCCAGAAGAGGGACCACCTGTAAAGCAAGTCCTTTCAAGTTGTGCTGCACATCCCAAACCATGTTACAAAAAGAGCAACTGCTATATTCACATTATGATATTTTTCTATCTTAAATTTGTCAAAATAAAGTATGAGTCTAATATTAAAAGATACATTGTTAGAAATTTATTTTAGACACCTGTTCTATTGTTGCTGTACAGTTGTTTGTGTTTGCCTCCAATGTGTGGTCATAGTATCTGGTGTGTAGGGGCCGCACCACTGGAAACTTCCTAAATTAACAAAGCTGTTTGGTTTGAAATAACAACAAAAACAGAAACACATCTTCCAGTGAAGGAAGCTGTTAATGGCCTGGTGCGGCAGCTCATGCCTCTAATCCCAGCACTTTGGGAGGCCAAGGCAAGCAAATGGCTTCAGCTCAGGAGTTCAAGCCAAGCCTGGGCAACATGGCAAAACCCCATCTCTGCAAAAAATATCAAAAATTAGCAAAGCGTTGTGGTGTGCACCTGTAGTCCCAGCTACTCAGGAGGCTGTGATAGGAGGATCACCTCAGCCGGGGAAGTCGAGGCTGCAGTGAGTTCTGATTATGTCACTACACTATAGCCTGGGCAACAGAGTGAGGCCCTGTCTCAAAAACAAACAAACAGGATGTGGTGGTGTGTGCCTGTAGTCCCAGCTACTCAGGAGGCTGTGATAGGAGGATCACCTCAGCCGGGGAAGTCGAGGCTGCAGTGAGTTCTGATTATGTCACTACACTATAGCCTGGGCAACAGAGTGAGGCCCTGTCTCAAAAACAAACAAACAGGATGTGGTGGTGTGTGCCTGTAGTCCCAGCTACTCAGGAGGCTGAGGCAGGAGAATTGCTTGAACCTGGGAGGTGGAAGTTGCGGTGAGCTGAGATTGTGCCATTGCTCTACAGCCTGGTAACAGGGCGAGACTCCGCCTCAAAAACAAACAGACAAACAAACAGAAAATGATAAAACACTCCATCGCACTGAGGTACGAAAGCCATCCATACCAGACTTCAGTTAACATGGAGTCTGAGAAGTAATAAATGGTCGTGTAGACCAAGCAGGAAGCCTTCTGTGAGCTCCAGGCAGGAGACATACTTTGAGAGTGAGGGGGGTACTCAGATCTGCCAGCATGTTGCTGAGATTCTCAGATAGTAGCATCTTATATTTTTCTTTCTTTTCTAAAAATCAAAGCAAAGCAAAAAACAGAAGCAAAAATGAGGTTTCAGCTCCATCAGTTTGGCTCCACAAGCAGCTGAGCAAGTGTAATTGTGGTTTGTGATTGGCCCTGGTTTGCTGGTTTCCACAGGCAATTGACTGTTTCCAGAGGTGCCTCCACAAGCCATTTAAGATGTAGGAAACCTCACATACTGCAGTTAGAAATGGTTTGCCAGGGTTATGATGACTTCTTCAAAAATAAGCATTAATTTTAATGCTAACATGCCAAAGGGCAACATCGCGTTGCAACTCTATAAAGCTGAGAATTAATGAAAAGCAGCAAAGTTGGATGAAGCATGTATTTCTTGTGGCTATCACTGCCACATAAGTGGATAGAATGATTGTTTTTCACTGAAAAAAAAAAGAAATCTCCTTTGGTTAAAAATGTGAGTTTGTATTTATAGCAAAAGGATTAACTCTTTACTGCCAATGAACTTATAGAGACACTGTATTTGACTTCTTGTTTCTAGAGAAACAGAACCCATAAGAGAGTGAGATTGTAAGTAAGTGGTAATTGTGGGGCAGTCTGAAGTCTGTAGGCCATGCTGGCAGGTGAGAAACTCAGGCAGGGGTTCTATGTTGCAATCTTGAGGCAGAATTGATGTTGCTACTTCTGGAAACCTCGCTCTTTGGTCTGTAGGCCTTCAACTAATTGGAAGACACATCTTAGAAATGTCTTTGCAGCAACATCTAGACTGCTATTTGACCAAACAGCTGGGTACCACAGCCTAGCCAAGGTGACGTATAAAAGTAATCCTTCCTCCACTGTCGGTAGTACTGGAGGCAATCCGAGACTCTGGTCTACCCTGACCTTCGGGCTCTAGTAAGACCTTGCATCAAGCAGGCAGGGGGCTTCTGAGGAGCTCTAGAATATCCGTATGGGTGGGACTCCACTGGAAGTCACTTACCATTGTTGCTAGACTGATCCAGTCTTTTTCGGTCTACCCCATTCTGACAGCTTGGATTTTCCCTTGTTTCTGAGATTACACCCCTATCTAGTATCCAACTGAGCCCTTGCTTCGACAACCCGTTCCTATATCAATTCTTCATGGTTGAGGCCCAGCCCCATGCTCACCTGTCACTGCCCAACTAGAATCTGTCTCTAAAACACAACGTGATGTCAGACAGACCTTCTCAATACCGGGCCTGTTGCTGACCCCCTCCCCCTATATGCTGTCTAGTCTTATTTTATTTTATTGAGACAAGGTCTTGCTTTGTCACCCAGGTTGGAGTGCAGTGGTGCAATCATAATTCACTGCAGCCTCAAACTCCTGGGCTCAAGTGATCCTCCCACCTCAGCCTCCCGAGTAGCTGGGACTATAGCTGCATGCCATCATGCCTGGCCAATTAAAAAAAATTTTTTTGTAGAGATGAAGGTCTCACTGTGTTGCCCAGGCTGATCTCAAACTCCTGGTCTCAAGCAATCCTCTCACCTCAGCCTCCTAAAGCATTAGAATTACAGGCATGAACCACTCTGCCTGGGCCTAGCTTTCTATTATTGAGGAATAGAT